GCTAATTTCCTAGACCAACTCTGCCCAGGAATGTCTCCCCAAGATAAGGGGCACCTAGGCCTAGGTAACCCTCTGTGACCCTGCCGGGGCAGTTCCATCTCCTGGCCCTAGGTAAACACTGTAACCCTAATGCATAGAGCATAATGGGAGAAACATCTATCATGGTTAGACATATGACCTGCAACTGACCTGGGGTCCCACAGGATGAGAGAAAGACCATATGGCCACTAGAGTCAGCAAATGTAACATCCCAATCTGTTACCATGGAAACCAAAAATGTATATAAGGTGGAACGAAATTAGTCCCACTTGCCCACTTCCCTGATTGGCAACTGGGAGGAAGAGTGGCTAGCCTCAAAATTAAACTCTGGTTTTGTTCTCAATGGACTCGGGTCTCTTGTGGAATACAACCCAACTTATGCCAGGGGATTTCTGCTGCAACACAACAACAACAACAACAACAGCAACAACACCCTAAACCAATAGTATTCCACAACAACAACACCCTAAACCAATAGTATTCCTGTACGTGAATAACAAACTCACTAAGACAGAAATCACAGAAGCAACACCTTTCACAATAGCATCCAAAAAAATGAAATACGTAGGAATGAATCTAACAAAGAAAGTAAAAGACCTCTCTCCATTGACCAAAAAAAGACCTCTACATTGAAAATCACAGTAGTCTGAAAAAGGAGATCAAAGAGAATATCAGGAGAGAGAAAGATATCCCTTGTTCTTGTGTAGGAAGAATCAACATAATGAAAATGGCCATACTCCCCAAATTGTTATATACAGATTTAATGCAATCCTGATCAAAATACCAATAGCACATCTCACAGAATTAGAGAAAACAATTCTAAAATTCATTTGAAACCAGGAGACCTAGAACAGGAAAAACAATTCTGGGCCACAAAGGCAAGGCAGAGGGGTATCACATTCCCTGAGTTGAAATTATACTACAGAGTTACTATGATAAAAACAGCATAGTACTAGCCAAAAACCAGACTTGAGGATACTTGGAACAGATCAGAAAATGCAGAAACAACTCCAAACATACTCATACACTGTATCTTTGTCAAAAGAGTCAAGCACCTTCACTTGAAGAAAGATAGTCTCTTTTTTTTTAAAGATAGCTTCTTTAATAAATGGTGCTGGAAAAACTGGCTTTCTACATGCCGAAGACTAAAGTTAGACCCATATCTTTCACCATGCAAATTTGAAATGGATCAAAAGTCTAAATACTAAAACAGAAACACTAAACCTGCTGGAAGAGAAAATAGGTAGAACCCTCAAAGACATAGGTATAAGCAAAGACTTTATGAACCAAACCCAAATTGCTCAGGAAATATTACAAAGAATCAACAACTGGGATCTCACCTTATTAAGCACAGTATTTGTTTGTGTCGAGATGCCCCCCCACCAAGCCTTATGCAGTCATGGGGCAGACTTCTAGAGTTTGTGATTGATTCATGCACTGCTGGGATTATGGGTGTCAGTACTACACCCACCCTGGGGCAGGCAGTGTGCACACCGTGTAAGGGAGGGAAACAGGCTTGCTCTCTCTCCTCCTCTTTTTTGTTCTTGCTGTTTTTGCTGTGTTCCACTGCCATGAACGGTTGCACTCTTCCATGTGCCACTCTGCCTTGGAGCCAGCTCATTATGGACTGAAACCTCCACAAACTGTTAGCTAAATAAACCTTTTTTTCCTTAATTCTGCATATCAGGTATTTTGTCTCAGCAACTAGAGAAAAGTAACCAAGACACCCAGCAAAACAAATCACCAACAGAGTGAAGCCATAACCCACAGAGTGGGAGAAAGTTTTGCCAGATAGTCCTCAGACAAAGGGCTTATATCTAGAATATATAAAGACCTAAAAAAAATAAGAACCTCCAAATTTAAAGACCAAATCCCAAAACAGGCATCTGAAGTGAACAGACACTTAGGTGAAGAAGTAAAAATGGCAAGTAAACGTGAAGGAGAAGCTCGACACACCTCTACCTGAATGGATGCATCTCGAGACCATACTCCTAAGGGAAATACACCAGACACAAATGTTTAAACATCGCAGTGCTTCTCTGGTGCGAGAACCCAAAATAAAGACCAAAATGTATAATAGATATTGGGAAAAGGGAAGAAATTGTTCAAATGAGAAGGGGAACAGGGAGCGGGGAGGGGGAAAGCAAGGATGGGACAGGAAAACAAAAAAAAAACTGGAAACAGCTTTTGTAAATAAGAAGGGGAAGAAGGGTAGAGGGAGGGGAAGGGAGTGGGAAATATGGAGAAATTGACATATATCATGTACAGGAACAAATTCACTAAGATAAATGGGGTTGTTATGTATATCTGAAATGTACCAATAAAAAAAAATAAGCTGGGTGGCGCACACTTACAACATGAGCACTCAGGAGGCTGAGGCAGGAGGATTTCCTGAGATCAAGGTCAGCCTGGGCTACATAGTAAGTTGAAAATCAGCCTGGACTATGTATTGAGACTCTGTCTCAAAAACTATGCCATTTATGAAAAACCCACCGCTATCATCATACTAAATGCAGAAAACTAAAAGCATCCCCTCTAAAACCAGGAACAGGACAAGAGTGTGCCACTCTTGTTCAATAGAATTTAGCTAGAACAATTAGGCTAAGGCAAGAAATAAAAGAGAACAGACCAGCCAACGCAATCCTAGGCAACAAGAGCAAGTCAGGGGCATCACAAATCCCAAACTTCAATTTATCTTACAATGTCAAGGCAGGAAAGCAGCATGTGGCACAAAAAACAGACACACAGACTAACGGAATAGACGATGGGGAAAGAATCTCAGGCACCTTCAGGTTTCTGATGAAGGGGCCAATGATGTGCACTGGAGAAAAGACAGCCTCTTTAAGAAACAGTATTGGGAAAACTATCAGCGGCAGAACAACAAATCCTGATTTATCTCTCTCTCCAGCATTAAAATCAAATCAAAATGGACTGAAGAACTAGATATAAAAACGGAAACATTGCATGTGTTGGAAGAAAAAATTGACTTCTGAACAAACAGGCAAAGGCAAAGACTGCACGAACAGAACCCAGCTGCACAAAAAGGAATGCCAAGAATTAACAAATGGGATTCTATCAAATTTAAAACGGAAGCCACCAACAGAGTAAAAAGAAAATCTCCAGAATGCATCCAATAAAAAGGCAGGTGACTGAAATGAGTATATTTTTCAGAAGTATAAAGGACCAATAAATACATGAAAAATGTTCACCATGTTGGCCACTAGAGAAATGCAAATTAAAACAACACTGAGATGCCATGGGCTGGGGATATAGCTCAGCAGCACAAGCGCCTGCCTGGCAGGTGCAAGGTCCTGAGTTTGATTCCCCATACCAAAGGAAAAAAAAAAGGAAAAAAGAGATGCCACAGGCTATCACTGAGGATTCAAAACAACAGCAAATGCTAGTAAAGATGTAAGGAAAAAGGAACTCTCTATATTGATGGTAGAAATGTAAACTAGTACAATCACTTTGGAAATCAGGAAATTCCTTAAAATATCAAAAATAGAAATTCTATTTGATCCAGCTATACCTCTCCTGGGTATCTTCCAGCAAGAGCTAAAGACATCATATTACAGTGACATGTGGATACCCGTGTTTATACATAATAGCTAAATCATGGAAGTGTTAATGTTCATTAATGATGAATGAATGAAAAGTGTGGGATTTATACACAATGGAATATTACTCAGCCACAAAGAACAGATTTGAGTCATCTGTAGGTAAATGGATGGATCTTCAGTCCATAACACTAGATAAATCAGTTACAAAACATTAAATATTTCATGGTTTCCCTGTGTGACCCTAAATGTAAATAATTTAAAGGACACAATGTCACGTGAAGCTAGGACAGGTGTCGTGTTAAGGGAGGCAAGCAGTGCAGCAAGGGGAAGGGATCTGGGGAAGCCGGAGCGGGGAGGCACAGGGCAGGGTGTATGTATGCGCATCCCAGCCCCAGGCTGAGTGGAAGCACTGTGTGCTGCAACAGTAAAGAAAGGAATGTTCAGCCCATGCGGATTCTCCCAGACACTCAAACAGAAGATTAGGCATTAGAATGGGTGATGCCTTAATAGGGATTTACAGACTCAGAGACTAGAAGAGGAAGGAAACTTCTTAACTTATTCTCTGTGGTCAGTATTATTCTGATACCCATAATTGACAGCAGGTGGGATGTACTTCAGAGGGAGAGCACTTAGCCTAGCATACACAAGGCCCTGGGTTTGATCCTAGCTACACACAAGCATACATGCAAAAAAAAAAAAAAAATCCTGAGGAAAGAAAGCTATATAGACTATTATGTGTCATGAGTACAGATGAGAAAAATCCTCAACAAAATATTAGCATTAAATCCAGCAAAGCTGGTAAAACGGCATGCAATATAACCCCAGCCTGCAGGAGGCTGAGGCAAGGAAATCATTTGAACACAGGAGATTGAGACCAGGCTGGGCACTTATTAAAAAAAAAAAAAAAATCCAGCAGCCTATACAAGGCATTATACTGTGACTACATACAATTTATTCCAGAAACAAGTTGGTTTAATATCAGAAAAGCAACAGACATAATATACTACATAGTAAAACAAAGAATGAAACTATCTCAATAGATGTAGAAGAAAACTCTGACAAAATGCTTTCCTAAGTACATACACATGTACTAATAAAGCAAGGGAAAAAATGATGAAAATAAAGCTTTTAGCTAGGCATGGTGGTGCACACCTGTAATCCCAGCACTTAGAAGGCTGAGGAAGGAGGACTGCTGTGAGTTCCAGGAGTATTGCTGTGATAACCTGTCTCAAAAAAGAAAAAAAGTTTTTGCAAATGGGAAGCAGACAAAGAGTTGGAGGTACAGAAAAAAGAACTAAGATATGTTGCATACATGGACCAACTTCCCATGATAAAAGTAGTCATTATGTACTGCAAATGTGTACTATACTCTATATATTGAAAAAAAAGAAAGTTTCCAACCTTTCCATTCAGAGTCCAATCATCAGAAAATTCTCCCTCGTAGATAGTATCATCTTCAGAAAGTAAAAGTCCATTTCCCTGGGTGAAGACAAAAGCCCAAAATCACAACACACAGAATGCAGTGCCTCGGAGAGCAGGCCAGCCTCAAAGTCTCAAATCACTCTAAGGGATGAAGAACAGGACTAGGAAGGCAGCACATTAATTAGACGACTTAAAAAGTTGGGGATATTGGAGCTTTAAAACCTCCACAGTAACTACATGCAAATATTCCACTCACCATCATTTTATTAAGGTGGAAGTTGCCTTCGTAGTATAATCCAAACTGGGTAACAACCACACCATTCCCATGACACACATCATCTTGCCACATGCCCATATACTTTTCTCCTCTGCACAGAAATAAGAGGAAAAGGAAAATGAAGAGAAAAACCAGTGACAGCAAGGATAAAGTACTGGTTCCATTTTTCTAGTTAAAGTGGTCAAATCTGTTTCCTCCAACTTGGGGCAGCGTGCAGCAAAGACATTTCGCTCACAGTAAGGTTTTCTCTGCAACAGTGCTACAGTCTGTCTTGCACTGGAAGACTGAAGAGACTTGTAAATTCAAACCCAGCCTGATTAAGTTAGCACCTTAGCTAGACCTGTCTCAAAAATTATTTTAAAAAAGCAAGCCAGAAATTCTAAATGTGACAGAAAGAAATCAAACCTATCTACAAGTTTTACTTACTCAAAATTTTGCTTAAGTAAATAAATGGGGTTTTTCACAAAAGGTTCACTTGTCACCTACTCAATCTCAGAAAAATCTTACTAGTTAAAAGGATAAACCAGGTGTGGTGGTGCATGCCTGTAATCCCAGTACTCAGGAGGCTGAGGCAGGAGGATCACTGTGAGTTTGAGGCCAGTCTAAACTACATAGCAAGACTATCTCCAAAAAAAAAAAAAAAAAAAAAAAGATAAAAGAATTATATTCCTTGACAGTCCTGATAACAAATCTCTACCCTAACAGGAAAACCTAAGCAAAAGGTACTTAGATCCATTCTATGTATAGTCCCAAAGGGAATATTTACTAGTCTCCCCACCCCTTCCCTTCTATTTCCACTTTACTGACTATATTAAAGATTTTTCTTCATATGGTAGAACTTGGTAGCTTCTCTGAGACAGTAAAGCCTGTGCACATATAAAGCGTTAGAGGAAACAGCACTGATGTGGACTGTGAATTATTCTGTTTTTGTAATGAATAACTTACTATTTAGGCCACAAGAAAATGGAGGAAAAAGATGCCCCCAAACGGTTTCCTTATGAAAAGTTTTCCTTTCTTTTCTTGGTTTGTGGTACTGGGGATTGAACCCAGGGTCTTGTGCATGCTAGGTAGGCACTCTGCCACAGAGCTACATCCCCAGACCTTTTTATCTTGAGCCAGTCTTCCTAAGTTGCCGGCTTTGAATGTTCAATTCTCCTGCTTCGGCCTCCTGAGTAGCTGGCCAGCTTAAGAAGTGTTTTACATGCTGAAATCATCACACTATACGTTGAGATTAGAAGCAGAACCATACCTAGTGATATCATCAAAGACTCCATATCCTGCTTTCTTATCCGCTGTCCACTGGCCGATGAACATGCTGGGAGAAGAAGAAGTCAGCTTTCCACTTCGAAGGAGGCCATGGCCGTGGCGCATGTTATCCTGGAAACAGCCTTCAAACACTTCACCAGAAGCATAGCTGTGGTTGCAGAGAATGGATAAGCATCACCTGCCCACTGAGTGCTGATGCTCATCTTTACAAAGTCTAGAAGATCCAAACTATACTCAGTCTCCTACAACTGTTTATGTGATTACTTCACACCAACAAAAATTTAGTTTTTGAATAATGAACCTAAGAAGTTAAAGACATCATAGGTGGTATTCTGCATTGACATGGGAAAAAATTATGTTTAGTACGTAATAAGGACATGAGCAATGAGTTATCAAGGAGAGGGAAGAATGAAGTTTTGTCCATATTAAAGTAACAGAATGCGCTGGGGATGGTGGCACATGCCCAGCACTCGGGAGGCTGAGGCAGGAGGACTGTGGCAAGTTTCAGGTCAGCCTGGTTTACAGAGGGAGTTCAAGGCCAGCCTGGACTATATAGTGAGACGTTGTTTCAAAGAAAAGGGGAGGAGTGAACAAAATTAAATTCATTGACAAGACATAGGGAAAGTTATGATTTATATGATATATTCAATTTAAATCAGAACCAAATTTAGTAACTTAATATTTTCATCTTGTGATAGACGAGCGGTTATACTTTGTTGTTGCTGTTCTTTGGTTTTTTGAGGCAGGATCTCACTATGTAGTCCAGGCTGGCCTTGAACACATGGCAGTCTTCCTGCCTCAGCCTCCCAAGTACTGGGATCACAAGTGTGTGCCACTGCACTGGCTGGGTGAGGGGTTATTCTTTGAAAGATTCTACACAGGCTTTCGCTCATTAAAAAGAGTAAAATGTACTCCTTGGAAATTCTTTGAAAAAGCAACACCAATCCAACCTTTCCTATGTCACTACCTATAGACTCCTTGACCACACATTTTTCCTTCTTTCCAGTGGCCCACATAATGGTCTTCTTTGTTCACAGCCTTATTTGGGATTCTGTATTCTCCGTACCTGCCAAGGAAAATAAAATCCATCAGAAGACAGATTCAGCATACACTTACCTATTGTGTGTATCCACTAGCGAGTCTTTCAGTGAGGAAGTCAGTGAAAAGATTTACCTATAGGACGAGAGGGGCAAAGGGGGCCTGGGTTTAAGCTGTACTTATTTCCTAAATTGTACAAGTCTTAGAGGAGTACCTTCTGCATTTAGGAATTAATGTTTCATTCCAAGGCAATTGAAAGGCGGACGACCTGTGTCCTAGACCTATCTGTCATCACTTGGTAAGTCTAGATACCTAGCTTCCTAACCTGTATTATAGGTGGGATACAACAGATTGTCTAAAGGCTGTTTTTATTCTAAAAATCCATTAAAAGACATCACAAAAATTTATATTATCACACATGCACAAAATCCACTACCCAATTTTCACCTTTTTTACATAGCAAAACATTAGTTTTTTAGCATCACACAAAATACTTCAGTCATAAATTTATCATGTAAATCTATTTATAATGTTAGAAAGTATGACAAGCTTATGCAAAAGTAATGTTATTAGAGTATCACTAGGAAAATATATCACTTGGAACATTTCTCTTTTGAATAAAGATATCAACGCAATAAAAGATAGTTTTAAACTATCAAAAGTACAATTTCTCTGTGTCTTTTGTGGAAAAAGAGACATACTGTCCACAGTGTGACCATAAACGTTACCCACAGCCCTCAGTCTCCACAACTGAAAATGGAGAGAAAACAGTCCCAGAGGGAATCAAGGCTGCAACCCCCGACTCCTAGCTCTCTTCATGCTTACCACGTGTACTCTAAGTTTTAAGGTACTGAATGCACATCTAAAAATCAGAATAAAAATCTACTGCTTGTTTGAAAAGCAACTCTGAACATAAAATAACTTATAACTGAACTTCAATTTGCCCCCACATTTTAAACAATTTTCTTACCCATCTTCCAAGCCATTCCTAAACATGCCAGAATATATCCTTCCATCGGGCCACTTCAGCACACCTCTGCAAGGCATAAACAAGAAACAATGCATGTCAACTAGTGTTTCCTGGAATCAATACTTTCTCTATATCCTCATCCCAGAGATAAATCTTAGACACTCACCTGCCATGGGGCTTTCCTGAAAACCAGCGCCCATCGTAAGTGGCATCCTTCAGGCGGGGGTCCTTGTAGAAAGTGTATTTGGCACTGCGGGAAATTGGTGGCTCCTGCCTCTGCACGCTGCTGCCACTTCCATAAGGTGGGAGATCAGCTGTGCCCCTCAGGGCCTGATCCACAGCCTGGCTTAGAGCCCGCAGCCACTTAGTCTAGGAGCAAAAAGTAACGGCAGATACACTTAAGGCAACAACTCATCCAACGCTGCTCTAAATCCTGCCGTCTTTCCCTGAGGCGAGCCACTTTTCTGAGTCCTAATACTTTCCTTATTGAATAGTACTAATTGGTTCTTGAAATTTACTGCTATATATTTAAAATCAAGTTACTTAAAAAAGAAAAACAAAAACTAGTTTTGGTTTAATGAAGATTTATCTGACATATCTGTGGATCATTGGTCAAGCAAGAACAGTATTTTTACTTCTTTGCTATAATAAAGGCAAAAACAGCCAGGCCAAAGACTGAACGAAAACCTTCTATGGACTAACCTTTTCCTGGGGTGTTGATGAAAGGAGAGTGAACTGTTCTTCAGGTGTGGTTATCTTCAAGCCATTCCTAAAATGTTCACAAGGATAAACACCAGATGGTATGACAACCTGCCACTATAGTATCAATCCTCAAATATGAAAACCAGCCTATTTATTTCGAGGGGAGCAAAAATCTGTAAAATGCAAATGCTCATGCCCCAGACATGGGTCCCTCGGTGGGGAAAGGACACAGAGTCACTCTAGTCTGTGAGCAATGGAGATACCATCCTAGCATCTATCATGATTTTCCATGGTTATCCAAACAGCCCATTTTATTACCCCTGGGCCACTTCACTGTCTCATGTGCTATGCAGAATAGGAGGCAGCTCCCAAGCCCCATCACAGAAAGGAAGCACTCTGCTAATGGGAAGGGTCTGGGGAGAAGAGAAGCCATACTCACACACTGCTGGCTTCTTCAGAGAGTGGCTCCACCCAGAGCGTGGCCAATGGAAAGACGTGGTGTGTGGAGAACTGCAACAGAGAACAAGGAGGCCTGTCTGTAAAGGTCCACGCCTCTCTGGGTCTCTGTCTACACCCTTGTCACACTGCTGGCACACATCAGTCTTAGGGTTTCTCCCGAACAATTTCTCTGAGATAGCTAGATCCAGGTGGGGGCCGCTGTCTCTGCCATATAGCCGCATGACACAGTCAACCCCAGGAACCCCTTCTGGCTGACACTCATTCTTGAGCTGGAAAACAAAAGAGCTCTCTGCTGCGGGGAGGGGGTAGCTTAGTGGCAGAGCACTTGCTTAAAATGTAGAAGGCCCTGCATTCAATATTCAGCACCAGAGAAGAAAAAGTCCTCTGAAACTGAGCCTACACTGTAGTTAAACACTCTTTTGCTTAATGCTTGCAGAGATATCACAATAGTTTTAAACACAAATTGATAGTATACAGTCAGGCATCACATAATGACACTCTGGTCAATGATGAATCACATACATAATAGTGGCCCAATAAAATTGTAACAGAGTTGAAAAATTCCTGCCACCTAATGACATCATAGCTGTCATAGCACAATGTATTTCCTATACTTATGGTGGTACTATAAACAAACCTGGTTAGACACACAAATAATAAAAATTATACAATAACTTAGAATGTTCAGCAGCATAACCTGCTTACAGGTTCACAGCCAAGAGGCACAGGTTCTATTATAGCGTGGACAGACAGAAGTCAAGTAGATTCCATCATGTTCACATAAGAGAACTGCATAACAATTCATTACTTTTTTTTTTTTTGTCTTTTTGAGACAAGGTTCCACTATGCAGTTCAGGCTGGCCTTGAACTCACTTTCTAGCCCAGGCTGGCCTCCACTCAGTGATCCTCCTGCCTCAGCCTCTCAAGTGCTAGGGTTACAGGTGTGCGCCATCACGCCAGGCTAGTTTCTTAACATCCCCACCCTTAAGCAATGTGTGGATATAGTGTTACAGTGGTCCACCTTCGAGTGCCTTTCCTAAGGTCAGCGACTATAGTTAGTAATCACAGCAGTCTGCCTTTCAGCACCTCTTTCAAGGTCAAGAATGAGGTTAGCCATCCAACCTACCTGGGCATGGACCAGGGCATCGTTAAAGAGAATGAACCAATTCACAGAAAACCTGCCTGCGTGCTGCAGAGAGAGGGCTCGGTTACTGCTCTCACACAGCAGTCGGCGCTCTGGCTTCCTCAGGGAATCCTAGAATTACAAATACTACACTAAACAATCAGAACAATTTTAACATGCAAAGAGAAAATAAAACAGGCAAAAGCAGAGCAACTGGTCATAGCTTAGTGTGGTATTAAATGTTTGTTTGTACCAGGAATCAAACTTGGGACCTTGTGCTTGCCAGGCAGGCCCTTGTGCTTCTGTGCTATATCCCCAGCCCTAAACCCACCTTTAAGATGGGATCCAAACACTTCACAGAATTAGAGCCCAAACTAAGGATGGCAAGTCTTCAGAGGATTCCCAGAAATGAAGGAATGTACTGATATTCAGAGCTCTCATTCCTACAGTCCTTATCCATTTTAGGAAAGAGGCCGTTAAAACATTACTCTTATAAGCAATTGAGGAACAAAAAAGTGATGACAGTTATTACAGCTGTTGGCTGGGCAACAAATGGCAGTGGCAAGGTTTACCGTCATTTTTCCAGGAAAGGTCTTCCAGAAGCCCAGCGTGTACTCTGCTTCCTTCCTTTTCCTGCCGAGATGGAGAGCAAGAGACTCATAACAAGAACTGGATTCCTGCAGTTTCTGATATTCTGGAGATGTCTAGAGGCCAATTAAGGGGGAAAAGAAGAATATAAAACAATTATCCAGAATCCAGAGGTTCAGTGTGATTTAGGTATGTACTACCTAGTTAAAGGACACATTTCAGCCTAAGAATAGAAGTATTCTCCTAAAGGGAGCCGGACCAGGACAAGACTGATCCCATAAAGGTTCTGTGACATAAAGGGCTTGTGAGATGGGGGCATAACTCAGGAGGGAAAGGGACAAGTATAGGTGGCCATCAGCAGGAAGCGCATCTCAGAACCAGGACAGGCAGTCATAAAGGTTCTAGGCTCAGAGTCCCTTTGTTTCCTATGACTGAGGTATATGTCGTAACAGAAAATAAGATTAAGAAATTTTAAAAATACTTATTCTTTTTAGTTAAGATTTTAGATGACTACATTTCCCAAACAAAGAGTTTCAGTGAGCTGGCTGTGGTGGTGCATGCTTGTGATCCCAGCACTTGGGAGGCTGAGGCAGGAGGATGGCTGTGAGTTTGAGGCCAGCCTGGACTACATAGTGAATTCAAGGTCAGCCTGAACTATAGTTCAAAAAACAAACAAACAAAAAGGTTAGATAGAAAAATGGTACCTTGTATTCATGAATAATTACAGTCCACAACCCTTAAAGTCAAAATGCTCAATTTTTCCATTCATTTAAGAAACATTTAATGACTGAATATGGTGGCTCACATAATCTCATCACTAGGAAATCTGATGCAGGACTGTGTTTGAGCCCAGTCTGGGTTACAAGTGAGTGCAAAGAGCTGGACTATCTAGCAAGACTGTCTCAAAAGAACCCAAAAATAAAGAAAAGAAACATCTAGATGACTGAAGGCATAAGCTTTGTCTCTGGGAGCTTATGACTAGGTAGAAAAGATTTTAAAAATATGTACATATATATACATAGCATATCAAGATAATGCAATACTTTTATCAATAGCCTACATATCAAAACAGTCAAGACAGTAAGTGAAGTAGGTAAGAGAGCACCTGGATATGAATTCTGGCTCTCACATGTGCCTCAATTCTCTCATCTGTAAAAGGGGGACAGTTGTAACACTTATTTCACTAGGTCGATGTGGAAATTAAAAAAAAACACAGAACTTGTACTTAGGACAGTAAGTGGAATATGAAATGCACTGAATAAATATTAAGTACTATTAACTTTTTACATGGAGAAATTTAAAAAATACACACACACAGGTTTACTACCTCAGACTCAGTAAAACTGCAACACATAGGGATGGAACGCAAGTGTGTGTTCTGAGAAGATCTTCCATAGATCATGATGCCTTGTGACAAGGACCACTGCTAAGGGGGCAAGGGGGAAATGAAGGCCAGCAAGGCACAGAGGAGAGAATAACAAACTTTTTTTTTTTTTTTTTTTGGTACCAGGAATCAAACTCAGGACCTTGCGCTTGCCAGGCAGGCGCTGTGCCACTGAGCTATATCCCCGGCCCTAACAAATTCCTAAGAGGTAAGAAGGTGAGGAAGAGGTCTAATAGGCTGGATTTTGGGGAGGAAATGACTTTGGACCCAAGCCTTGAAAAGTTCCATGAGGATGGGGTTAGAAAGGAAATATAAAGAGCCCAAGGGAGCTACACACAGGGACTCTAAACCAGTGTAGGGGACACAGGGACAAGACAGCATGAGAAACAAAAGAAGGTATCGGATCGTGCAGGACCTTAGATGTCGTTTTGTTTATTAGGCCCATCAACCTGGAAACTGCACAGTATTAGACTCAATGCACCATTCTAAACAGATCCAGTAGAGATTTTTTCTTTCATTAGTTGAGGCCATATGGAGGTAAAATCTATAACTATCTGGTTATTTGCTGGTTCAAACCTGTTCAGCAAAAACTGGATCTGTTTCAGTTAAAATTGAAACCAGACTAAAGAAAAGAGTTATGGAATCATAGGAGGGTCTAACAGAAGCCTACGTCAGTTCCTGAGTCACTGTGGGACATGCAATCTACCTAGATCAGGAGACAGAGCCAGAGATTTAAGATTTTAAGGAACTGAGAGGTCATTATGATTTCTTTAGAGTCCTTCAGAGTAGAAACAAAATGAAATCACACATTTTAGTACAATCTCAAAGACAAAGGTATTGGGAGCTGGGGATACAGATCAGTAGTGGCATAGCATCTATTTCCCAAGCATGAGGCTGTGTTTGATTTCTGGTACAAAAAAAAAAAAAAAAAAAAAGGTGAAGGTCTTAGGACCAGCTCAGTATCACCTATGAATGAGCAGAAGTAAAAACAGGGTCTCAACTCAGTTTCATAAAATGAATACAGGGTTTGGATAAGGTCCTGAAAGGAAACTGAATCTACAGCAAAGAAAACTAGATTTGCCTATTCATACTTTCCTTTCTCACTGAGGAATAAGAAATGCAATGTTAAGTAAGAGAAGTTCTAGATATTACGGTGGCTTTATCCAAAAAAACTATGATTCCTGGCTTCTCAAGTATCCAAAGCAGGTATATATGGGACCTTACCACTTCAAAACAAGTAGCAAGCTTTAGCAAAACTTTTGCATAATTATGAAGGCGTCTGATTGGCAAGAAAAACAGAGTATTCAGTATTTCCATCAATTGAGTGTTTTCATCATTCATGTCTGATAAATCTTGCAACAGCTCCTGGTTCTTATTTAGGAAATCACTGAAAGTAAAGGAAAAAATATTCAGTTAATCATTTTGATATTGGTAATATGTATAGTATTGCATACGATACAGAAAATGATAGAAAATTTCACTAGATAAAATCTCCTTCAGATTTGTACCTTTTTAAGTGTAAAAAAAGAAGATAAATATGATAATCTAGATGTAATTAAGACAATTTCCCTAGCTATAAGATAGGAATTTTGAAGGCATTAAACACAGCAAATTGTAGCTAATAGAAATGGACAGAAATAGAAGCACAAATCTGTGCCTTAAATTCTAGGAAATCAATCATGCATCCCAGTTTCAGGCAAACATCAGAGAGCAACTGACACCATCACCTGTTATTTTCAAGTCAAAAGTCAAAGGAATAAATGGCAATTCCAATTGCTCTATTTAGTTGTGCTAAACTTTCTCAGTGGGAAAAAAGCAAAGCTCCTTGCTCTAAGAATTAGTAGACAGTAAGACACTTCTAAATTTTTCCATTGTCCTTTAGTTGTTGATTACCTAGTAGGAGTTTATTAAAGGGGAAAAAAAAAAATAAAACCACCCCACAGGAAGCAGCACTACAAGTAATAAGACACAGTAAAGCAAATATATGTGAACATCTCAATACTGAGATCTTCAAAAACATTTAAACTGAAGCCAAGTCTTTTTTTTTTGTTTGTTTGTTTTCTGGTACCAGGAATTGAACTCTTGATCTTGTGCTTGCCAGGCAGGTGCTGTGCCGCTCAGCTAAATCCCCAGCCCTGAAGCCAAGTCTTTATATCAGTTTTTTTTTATCAAATCATTACAATTTACTGCAAATAGTAAGTCTGGTCAGTAACTCACCCAGATTATGTTCACCAGACCAGCACACCTTTAAAAGGTTTGCAAAGTAAGAACTCGTGGGACAGAGGAGTCATGTCTCTTAATGAGCAACCCCATGCTCACTCACAGCTCTGCCCTCAGCACAGTACCTGACAGACTATAGAACTCAGCTACAAGTAAGATGCAGTGCCACGCAAGACAGAAGGTAAAAACAAGTCACTCTGTAATCTCTTAGACCACTATGGAGTAAAGAGACATTTAACCCAGAAGTTGCAAAATATTGTCTTAGAAAACTGGATTAAAAATCGTAATGATTTCTAGAAACCCAAAAGTTTAGTGGCACAAATGTGACTGCTTACAACACAGCTGAAAGGGTTCTTGGGACATGCACTCTGGAGAATACAGTCCAGACTTCTGTTTTATGCTTGGCTTGTGTCCACGCTCCCTCCATGTGCTGCCACAGGGCCAGCAGACACTCATTCAGCACCCAGGACAGCTCCACCCTGACTAGCTCCTGAGGGCAAGACGGGGAGCACACACACCCCTGGGGCCAGTTTTCTCCTGGGATGCCCAAGATCCTGCCCATGTGACAGCAGAAATGTCCTGACCTGCCAGCCAGGTTACTTTTCAGGTCTCACTGAGGCCCATGCCTACGGACTCCTTTAGAAAGAGCCCCAGGGTGTTCTCAGAAAACCTGAACTAGAGACACGACTCACGTTATTTTCACTTGGGAGCTCTGCTCTCACAGGAGCAATACTGTTCTTGCTTACACAGCTACGTGTGTATTTTCACTCAGATTTTACTGGTTTATTTGTGGTACTAGGGATTGAACCCTAACCCTTTTAAAAATAATTTTTTTTTTTAATTTTAAAGAGGGGAAAAAAGCCAAGGGTCTTGTTAAGTTGCCCAGTTGGGCTTGAACTTGTGATCCCCTGCCTCAGCCTCCCACAGTGCTGCAATTACAGGAATGTGCCAATCCACCAAGATTATTCAAATTTTTAAAACTAAAAAAAATTAAAGACAGAAACAACTCGTGTCCTTCCAGATGAGTCAATAAACAAAATGCATTATTCAGCCACAAAACGGAATGAAACTTTGATACATTGTATATTTAAACATTATACTTAAATAAAACAGCCACAGAAGGACAAATCTGATTCTACTTACATAAGGTACCTAAAATAGGTACCTTGGATTGTCTCATGGCACAGTAAGCATTTCGGATTGGGAATTAACTCCTTACTTTTAATCTCCACAGGGTCTGGAAACATGCAGATCTCTCCCTCCTGGGTCACCTTAGGTGATCTGGTCCCCAGGCTCAGCCCCTGAACCATATGGAGCCCTGGGCTCAGGGGCAGAGGGATTTTTGTAGTTGACAGGAAGCAGAATAGAGGTTACCAGAGTCCTGAGGGAGAGGGGACTGCGCGGTTATTGTTTAGCGAGTGCCCAGCTTCTGTTGGGTATGGGATAGGGTTAGACAGTGGGTACAGACAGTGGTAATGGTTACACAATGCTATGAACCTATTAGACACCGTTGGCTTGTTCACGTAGGAATGGTAAAAATAACAAGCACTTTGATACATATGCTTTACCACAACTAAGAAAAAAACCCTGAATAATGAGCAAACCACCAGTTACATAATAAACCAGCTGAGTGATGACAGCCTGAGCACCATCATCTGGCTTAGTTACTGGTTTGTTGCTGTGACAACACCCTAAGTCAAAGGAGGAACGGTTTATTTAGCTCATAGCTGTAGAGGTTTCAGTCCATGATGAGCTGGCTACAAAGCAGGGTGGCACAGCACAGGGGCATTGCGAAGAAACAGTCCATGGCAGGCAGAAGACAGCAAAGCAGCGAAGTAGCAAGCAGTAGGTGACAAGTGACCAGCAACAACAACAGCAGCTCTTTCTGCCCCTTATATTTTATCCAGGCTACCTGCCCTTTAGGTAGGCAGTATTCACACATATAGTATATATACATATAGACAGTATAGCATCCTCCTGCTGTGAATCAATCCCAGCATCACACACTGTAGATCCAGCCACCTGCAAAGAGCCCCACACACGAAGCTTTCGGAGAATATGTAGACACAAGCCATAGCGTCATCCAATACTGAGTGGCTGCCATGCTGAGCTCAGAGGTCTTGAAGCTTTTCTCTTCTTTCTCTCCTTTTTTTTTTTGTTTTTTTTTTGTTTTAGGTTTTTTGAGACAGGGTCTCACTGTGTAGTTCAGAGTGGCTTTGAACTCACTATGTAGTCCAGGGTGGCCTCGAACACATGAAGATACTTCTGCCTCAGCCTCATAAGTGCTGGGATTAGAGACATGTACCATCATGCATGGCCTCTTGGCTTTTAAAATAAAATCTTGAAAATAATTTTAAATATTGACTTTGTAAATTGAAATTGAAAAAGGATATCACTGCTACCTTTAATCATGAAAAACCTGGGGGAACATCAACTACCACTTGGAAAATGCTCCCCAAGTCCAGACCAGACCTAATATTTGCTGCCAGAGCTCAGATTTACCCACGGCTCATTAACTGCTTCTCATGTGCCCAGGACTGGGGCTTAGTGCTGTGTAGGAGGTGGGCCATGTCCACTTACGTCATCTCATTTGGCTGGATCTAACAAAGGGTCAGGTTAGTTCTGTGCACTGTGAACTTAACCATGAAATATCTAAGGAATAAACATTAAAGCCAAACATGGGCCAGGCATGGTGGTGCACACCAGTAATCCCAGCTATTTGAGAGGCTGAATATGGAGGACCACTAATTCAAGGGCAGCCTTGGAAACTCAACAAGAATGATCTCAAACTAACAAATAAAAAGAGGCTAAGGATATAACTCAGTGGTAAAGTGCTTGTCTAACATGAGTGAGCCTCTGGGTTCAATCCCTGTAACGAAGGAAAAAGGATCAGGTGTGGTAGTGTATGCTTACATCAGTTCCAGGCCGATTTAGATTACAGATCAAGACCCATTCTCCAAGAAATACCCAAAAACCAAAAAACAGAAAAACCCAAGTAAGGCACCAGCGTCAGAAACTACCATGGTCTTTCATGAGGCCTAGAGGCCTCCCATTCAAATCACCACAAAAGGGAGGCTGATGGTACAGAACTGTAACCCCAGCACTCAGGAGGCTGAGACAGGTGGATCATTAAGTTTGAGGCCAACCTGGGCAACACAGCAGTTCAAGACCAGCCTGGAACACATATGCAGACCCTGTTTCAAAATAAATAAACCCAAAAGTAAAATAAAATAAATTACCACAAACTTCCAAGTTATACATTCTCCTGAAGTTAACGTTTGGTTTTCTTCAAGTATTGCTATTTGCAAAAATGAACTATCCAGTGTTTTAACGTTTTTTCTACTTTATTAATTTGGCTACAACTATTTTTTTCCTATTTTGGGGGGACCATGGTTCATTAGTTCACCAATGGTAAAGGTTAAACTATTTTGGTTACTATAATAAACAAATTATAAATAATAAATTCAGTAATTCCAACAAATAAAAACCTGTCAAAACCAGATGCTCTTAGCTGGATAAAACAACAAAAATAAGACAACCTATTTGTTACTTGGGACAAACACATAAAACCAGTAGAATACAGTGCAGAACACATGACAGAAGAGAATGCCTACCAAGCAAAATAGCAAAGGGGTTTTGAAGTTTCTCTACAAGGTTAAAGATACAACACATCTGAATTTGTCATTAAGAAATGATGGCCCAACCCTTATATTTTGGAAATAAAAAAGCATATAACATGAATCAAAAGCAATCTGTAATAAATTTATGAAAAATATTTAGACCTAAGTGACTACAAAAACAAAATGCCTCAGCCAGTCACGGTGGTGTATGCCTATGATCTCAACACTATTTGGGAGGCTAAGGCAAGAAAAAAGAGTTCAAAGCCATTCTGAGCTCCATAGCTAATTTGAGGACAGTCTGGACTACATAGCAAGACAGTATCTCAAAACAAAAGAAAAAAAGAACAAAAAAATCCAACAAGGCCAGGGATACAGCTCAGTGGCACAGTGCCTGCCTTTGCAAGCACAAGGTCCTGAGTTTGATTCCTAGTTAAAAAAAAAAAAAAAATCTAACAACACAAAAAATCTAACCAAAATGCATCGAAGGTTAAGATTACAGCTAACTTAATAATTAGATGAATATCTATAGCCTAAAGAGACTATATTAAAAAAAATAAAAGATTGAAAAAGAAAGCAATAAACTTAATGAAGTTGGAAGAGATTTATAGGTGAGCACAAAGTGGAAATAAAGTGCAGAAATTAATGAAATAAAAAACAAAGAAAGGATCAGCCAAACTTAATCTTTAAAAAGATTTTTAAAAGGGGGGGGGTGTGAACTGACAGAACAGACCAAGATGAAAAGTAAATAAATAACTCAATTAAAAAATAACAGCAATGAAAACAAGGTAAACAACTATGGCTATTATGAAGATCAAAACATACTAAAATAATGCTTGGAAGCCGGGCATGGCGGCACAAACCTGTAATCCCAGCACTAGTGAGGCTGAGGCAGGAGGATTATTGTGTTGGAGGCCAGCGTGGGCTACAATGTGAGCTCAAGGCCAGCCTGAACTATATAGCGAGACCTTGTCTCAAAAATACAAAAGAAAACAAAACAAAAAACCAAAACCAAAACCAAACAAAACAAAAAACCCTATGGCAATGATGGCAAACCTTTTAGAGATTGAGTGTCCAAAGTGCAACCCCAAACCCACTTACTTATTGCAAAGTGCCAACACTGCCCTTATGTGTGCTGTTATCCCATGCTCGGCTGCTGGGGCAATGCTGGGGTGACCTGGCTCCCATGCCAACAGCAGGCTCTGCATGCCAGCTGCAGTAAGCCACAGGTTCACCACCCCTGCTACAGTAATCAACCAGACGTATATCCTTTAAAACTAGAAATAAAGATGATAGTACTTCTATTAAAATAAAAGCACACATGACAAAACATTAACATCTATTAAATGTGGGTGATGTGCACTTATCTGAAATATTTCCTATTAAATTTTTTCCTATTAAATATAAATTTTTAGGGCCAGGGATATAGCTCAATGGCACAGTACCTGCCTTGCAAGCACAAGGTCATGAGTTTGATTCCCCGTACCAAAACAAAAACAAAAACAAAAACAAAACAAAAAAATATATATAATTTTTTTTAAAACTTGCCTTTATTGCTAGACTAACATTTGCTGAGAAACTACACAGCTAAGACGTGTTGACTGCATACGAGGGGGTCTGTATACTATTTATCCAGAAGGTACACGAAAACATTTTGTATTTGTGCAACACCCACTTTTCCGTAACCACCACATTGTTTGTTCCTCATTAACGGAAGAGAGAACATTCTCACTTGTCAGATGAAAAAAATTTGGCTTACTGGGGTAAAGGTAAGTAGTGGGGCAACAAAGCAGCACCATATTCTGTGCCTTTTAGCTCATAGTTTTTTCAATAGCCTATTCTAAACTAGGTGTGGTGGTGAATATCTGTAATCCCAGCTACTTGAGAGGCGGAGGCAGGGGATTGCTGAGAGCTGGAGACCAGCCTGAAATACAGTGAGGCCATTTTTTAAACAAACAAACAGACAAACAGGGACTTTTAAAAAGGGATGAGAATGTAGCTTATTGTAGAGCACTTGCCTAGCATGTATGAGGTCCCAAATTCAATCCCCAGGACTTAAAAAAAAACCCTCATTATTTCTAATGATAATCAAGGGCTAATACCATCTTAACTTTTTTTTTTTTTTTGTCTTTTTGAGACAGGGTCTCACTATGCAACTCATGCTGGCCTTGAGCTCACTCTGTAATGCAGGCTGGTCTCAAATTTGCAATGATCCCCCTGCCTCAGCCTCCCAAATCCTGGGATTAAGGCATGCACTGCCATGCCTGGCTACCATCTTTTCTCTTCAAGAGTGAGTTAGTAAGTCTAATTATAATTCATTGGGTCAAACAGCAAAGCTTTCCCTGGGCACTCAAAGACATACAACACTGTAAAACATGATCTTTGGTTGCTATGATGGTTGGAAGGTACGTATGTGCTTACATGGCAGGCTTAGCAAGAAGCTGGAATCCTCCCATAACCAGGAAATTTGTAATTGATGTGCAATACCTTGAACAAAGAAAACACATACACATTAGTGGTGAAACATAAATTATTTCTTGAGTTTTCAAACAGGTATCTGGAACAGACAATACCTGAAATCTCACCAATGGGTTTCTGAACTTTGGTGACATTAATGATCACAAACCGTACAGGACTGAAGAACAGGTTGTGTGACAGCAACAACAATGTTGTTAGGGTAGCTGCCAATTTAATACAGACCCTAATACAAAAAGAACTCCTAAAAGTACCTAAAGCTGTGCAAACTAGAATTTACTTGGCAGACAGTACTGACTAACTGAAGTACCCAAAGCAAAAAAAAAATCATTAACATGACTGTACTTTTAATGAAAATTTAATCTTCACTTCAGGCTTCCCAATTAAGTCTTCAGAAACTGAGTACTAGAGAGTAAGAAAGTAAGTGAAAAGAGCTTGAATGAGAAACTATTAGAAAATGTTGATTAAATATTGACAAACTGCTAGGGAACAACTGTACATGAGCTGTTCATTTGAGCCACTACTCTTCCTTCATATTCCTGGGTTAGCCAGGGATACAGCTCAGCGCCACAAGCACCTGCCTGGCAAGCGCAAGGTCCTGAGTTCAATTCCCGGTACCACCCCCCGAAACCTTCAAAAAAGTACTCCTGGGCCAGCACATGGAATTATCACATTTTTCAAGAGAAGGGAAGTTTCAACTGAAAGTAGCCCAAGGGGATGTGGACTTGGAAAAATACTTACAATGGTGAATTTTAGGTGATACATACTTTACCACTCTTCAAATAACTTCTAAAAATTCACAGTATAAATCTAGCTTTATTTGCTCTATCTATAGGAATAAAATATGTTAAAAAGTAGTTCCAGATACCAAAACAAAGCCATGTTCAAGCATAAGGCCTAGAGTATGCGAGAAGAAAGGGCATTTTCTCTTCTGAGTGAACACATGTTTTTTTTGTAAATGTGAATCAAAAGGAGGAAGATTATAGTAGTAAAGACTAAAATCTTCACAAACAGAAGCTAGTTTTTAAAAGTAACGTAGTAACAAATCATGTTATTATGTTTTATGTCTGGAAGATAATGAGCTTAAAAATTCAAACCAAGGTGTTTCTTCTCAGGCACCAGCCTCAAATATATTGTTTGCTTACAACCGAAATTTCACACATCTAGCTGCACATGCACACAGTCTGCATGGGAAACATTCAGATGACCCACAGGCATTATTTCTAGTAGTGGGGTTTAAGAATAACTTTAAATATCCTTTTGATTATCTCTTTTTGCAGTTTTCAATAACAAACACACATTACAAATAACCTAAATGAAACACAGATAGACATGAACTTCTCACAAGTTCAAGTGTGCCTGTGTCCTTAGTTTGACTGAATGAATAATCAAACTGATACATACTTCAGACCAACACAGCATAATCTACTCCATATTATTATTTGTGTGTGTGTGTGTGTGTGTGTGTGTGTGTGGAGACAGGGTCTCGTTATGCAGTTCAGGCTGGCCTTGAGCTCACACTGTAGCCCAGGCTGGTCTCAACTCACAATGATCCTCTTGCTTCAGCCTCCCGAATGCTGGGATTACAGGTTTACGCCACCATGCCTGACACCTACTCTATAATAAATGACAATTAAATCTGGGCGTGGTGGCACATGCTTATAATCCCAGCATTCAGGAGGCTGAGGCAAGAGGATCACTGGGAGGTTGAGGCCAGCCTGGGCTACATAGTTAAATTAAGGCTGGTCTGAACTACAGAGTAAGACCCTGTCTCAAAAAAACAAAAAACAGGAGCTGGGGATTTAGCTCAGCGGCACAGCGCCTGCCTGGCAAGCGTAAGGTTGTGAGCTCGATTGCTGGTACCGGGGGAAAAAAAACAAAAAAAGCAAAAAAACCCAAAAAACAAAAAACAAAAAAATTCTAAAACCCAAAAACAGTTAAATTAGGCTTTAGATCATAATATTAATGTATAAATCAAGAAAAATGAAATATTTAAGTTAAATTTCCAAATATACTTTGTTATTTTACTTTAAAAACATAAAAAGAACCTTGGATAACTATTCTAGATTTTATTTTTATTTTTTATATTTTATTTTGTCTTTGTGAGACAGGGTTTCACTATGCAGTTCAGGCTGGCCCTGAACTCACAGCGATCCTCCTGCCTCAGCCTCCTGAGTGCGGGGATTACAGGCGTGCACCAGCACACCCGGCAATTCTAGGTTTTATTAAGAAAATATTTTTATGTTAAATGTAGTTAGGTCTTTTAAATCCTTCATTTATACAGCAGGAAAAACTAGACACTGGCTCAGCTCCACATTAATACTAACAAGAGTTAGTCTTAAAATAACTTACGTATTTACTTATTTCCTCAAATTTTAGCACAATTCATGTAAATAAACAAAGTAACCAGATTTATTATAGTACATATAGTAAACTACACTGTGAGCCAGCTGTGGTAGCATACACCTATAACCCCCACACTCTGTGAAGCTTGAGGCAGGAGTTCAAGCCCAACCTGGGCAACTCAGTGACTTAGCCAGATCCCACCTCAAAATTAAAAATAATAAAAGGTCTGGAGATGTAGCTCAGTACAAAAGTCCTAGGTTCAATCTCAGGTACCATAAGCAAAACAAAAAAACAAAACACTATCAGTCCCTTTGTTATAAGATGAAAATTCATTATTTTTAAACCTTTCTTTCTCTTAAAGAAAACTAAATTCCACAATGCAGAACTATAGCTGACGTAATGTTAAAATGCTATGTCCTTCTATTAATCTAGTCTCTTCTAATTAAGGAGCTGCTCTCCTTGGCAGAACAACCACACAGAGACTGAACATGAATAGGACCAGATACTTGCTCTGTGTAACTATCCAAGAAGAGACTCGCATGCTTCAGGATGACCAGATTCCTGACTTCCTTTATTCCCTGAAGGAAGCTGCTCAGGGAGGCTCCGTGCTGACCAGTCAGGTAACACAATTTGCTGAACCGGCTTGCCACCTCCTGCAATAGCTGGACTGCAGTCACAGTGCCCAAATTTTCTGCAACAAGATGACAATGAAGATAGAAACAACATAAAGACTAAAGACTTTCTCATGATCACATCATCAAGGTACTCATAAAAACTGTCAGTTAGGGCTGAACCAGGTAAGTCAGTGTCAACCTAACCAGGGAAAATGCTACACTAGAGTATTAGCCTAAATTCTGCATCCTCAAAAGGGGCCAGGTAGTAACAGAAAGAGGTAGACAAAGAAAACTCCATCTCCGTTCTCTGAACACAGGGCCAAACCTAGAAAAAAATCTGAGATAAGGGAAAGCTGTCTTTAACAATCCCCTAACACCCTCATGGTGATAATTTTAAGAGATTTATAAATGCAAATAAATATTTGGTATAATTTCTAGGAACTATAACAAAGGAAATGAAAAATTCAGAGTATAATAGAAGATATCTTAGAGCGGGTGGGGCTGGAAAAGCTGCTTGGAATTCCAGCTTTTAGGGTCCACTTCCCCAAAGCTGCTCCTGCCTTTCTGCCATGAACGGTCTACAGTTCCGGCTTCTCCTTGTGCGAGTAGAAAGAACCGTGGGAGCAGATGACAGGGCTGACCACAAACTGAAACTGGTTTGTGATGACCTGCGATCAAAAAGGAGGATGGAAAGGAGTGAACCACAACTCAGAAGGGTTCTTAAGGTCACACATGACCTTAAGGCTGAGGCAGGAAGGTCACCTAAGCCCAAGAATATGACACAAGCCTGGGTAAGATCCTATCTCTTAAAAAAATTTTTTTTTCATTTATGATACACAAAGAACAGATAAAACCAGAGTCCTGATGACATGGGGCGGGGGCCAGGGTAAGGGTTCAACTTACCTAGACTGAGAAGAGGCCTGAGTATCTGAGATTTGGTATCACTTAGTTTTGAATAGAACCGTCGTTCAGTAGTGGCCAACTCATGGAGACTGGCGATATACCCCATAATGTTCTTGTCCACCAAGGCCAGAAAGCTATCTTTTCCTGCTGTTACACTACTTACATATCCAAGCTGGAAAGAGGAAATAAGAGTAAAGAAAATACAATTCACAAGCAGCCATTTGGTACACTGAAGCTGGCTTATATCAGCTGGCAAGAGCCAAAGGTTTAAATATTCAGGAATTTTGTAAGCAGAGCAGACTATTAAACCGTTGACTGTTGCTTGAAATAAGCCATAGTGAAAACCTGCAGACATTGCAGACTAGGTCCTTTTATAGTTGTTTGTTTTAGAGCTGGGACCGGTCTACCATTGTTAATACATATATCTAGATCTATGCATAACTATGTACTTCAACTTTTATTTATCTCCAAGATATCTTTCATTTCACATCACAAATGCTGGAACCAGAGCCAGGCACAGTGGTGCACACCTATAATTCCAGCACTCAGGAGGCTGAGGCAGGAGGATCACTGTGCGTTCAAGGCCACCCTAAAGTACACAGTGACATCCCATCTCAAAAAACCAAGAAACAAAACAAAACAAAACAAAACAAATGCTGGAACCACAGAGATTCTAGATATATAAAGATCCAAAGGAGAAGGTACATGGCCACAGACTCCTTTCACATAAAATAATAATAATATTAATGAAAACAGAGAGAACCCTAGCCCTATATATAAAAGAAAGAAAGAAGAGAAAGAGAGAAAATTGGTAAAAGGGTTTATATCAAACTAAAAAGTTTCTCTACAGGAAAGGAAACAACCAACAGAATAAAGAGATAATACACAGAGCAGGAGAAAATACCTGCCAATTGTTTATCCAATGAAAGGATTTAGACCCAAAATACATAAGGAACCAACCAACTAAACAAACAAACAAACAAAACACTTACTAGCAAAGCCCAAATATTTTACTTAATCCATGGGCAAATGACCTGAATTGATATTTCTCTGAAGAACACTTAAAAATGGTTAACAGTATATGAAAAAATGCTCAATATCAGTGGTCATCAAGGAAATACAAATTAAAACCATAATCAGGTATCTCACCACAGTTAGAATGGCCATTATCAAAACAAACAAAAAAATGAATGCAGGCAAGGCTGATGAAAGGAACCCTAATACACCACTGGTTGGAATGTAAATTATTACAGCCCCTGCAGGAAACACTATGTAATTTCCTCAAAAGCTAGAAATAGAACCACCATATGAAGCTGGACATGGTAGTACAAGGTGTAGTCCCAGCTACACATGATGCTAAGGAGGACCATCTTTCCACAAGTTCAAGACCAGTCTGCGCAACACAGGAAGACCCTGTCTCAAAAACAAAAACAAAAACACACAAAAAAACCAGTTACCATTGGATCCAACAATTGCACTGCTAGCTATACCACAAAAGGGAATGAAATCTGCATTCAGACAGACACTTGTACTCACAGGTGTACTGCAACTCTATTCACAGTAGCCAGTACTTCATCAACCAAGGTGTTTATCGATACATGAGTGAATAAAGAAAATGTAATACACATACACACACAGGAATACCAGTCAGTTGTGAAAACATGAAATTTTTGTCACTTGCAGCAACATGGGTAAAACTGGAAGACTTTATATGAAGTGTAGAAAGACCAATAAAACATGCTTTCATTTATATGTAGAAAGTGAAGCAGAACAGTGGCAGAGCCCAGGAAGGGTTTATGGAAGGAGAGAATGGAAGACCACCATCAGTGGGTACAGGGTTAGGTTACAAAGACTAACTAAGGACTGTAAGTGTGCTGCCGAACCACAGCAGGCACAAAGAGCCCTCTCTGTCAGCAACGAGCCAAGCTGTCATGTTGTTTTTTCTCAACTAAAACCTCAGTGTTTAGGTTTAATGTGTTGGCACCTTGCAGTTTGGGCACTTGGGTCTCTAAAAATTAGTTTGCCATCACTGACTCTATAGGTTGGTTGGTAACAGTTAGTTGAATTTCTCAAAATAGCTGGTAGAGAGGACTTTGAATGTTCTCAACACAAAAAAGGGATTAAGTGTTTGAGGTGTACATTGGCCAAGTATCCTGATCTGATTACACACTGTATTCATTCACTGAAATGTCACATTGTATTCTACAATCATGTATAATTAGCATGTATCAATTAAAATGAAAATATTTCTTAGAAAACTTTTTTCTTTAAAAAGAACTTGTTTGGTGTGGTGGCGCATGCCTGTAATCTCAGCACTCAGGAGGCTGAGGCAGGAGGATTATCTTGAGTTTGAGGACAGGCTGGACTATGCAGTGAGTACAAGTGAACTACAAAGTAAGACTGTATCTCAAAATAAATAAATAAATAAGTAAATAAGTAAAAGGGACTTCTTGTCATTTCCCTATGACATCACTGTACAAAAATATTCATTGTCTTCATTTAAATATCCTAATTAAACCAGGCAGGCACTATTAACACCCCATGATAACCAAAGCCTCCACACTGCAGCTTTATCCCTTTAATCAGCCTAGTTCATTCGTTATGTAAACTGTGGAGCCAGGCCAACAAGTACACATAGGGGCCAACAAGCACAAGAGCCAATCACCATGCCTAAAAAACCAGGCTATGTGGAGGTCAACAGCCAAATCTTGGCCAACGTTGCCACTGGCAATAAAGATCTTCCCATGATACACTCACAGCTTACTCGCCAGAAAAATAAAGACCGAAAAACAATGATTTGCTTTATTTTCCAATAAAAGTAAGAAATCCAGATTGTACAAATATTAAGGGTTAATCTCCCTGTGGCATGTCACTTTGAGGATGTCAGTTATTCCGAAAAAAGCAATGGCTTAAATTTTATGAAACAGAGACAGGAAGTAGAAAAGCAGAGAGAAATCCAGATTTTCAAAAGAAAAAGAAGGGCATAAACAGTGGAAAATAAAACATAAAGCTAAGATAGTAGGGGGTGGGTGGGAAACAGCACTGCCAGTGTGTGCCAGGTCCTTCCTCATAAGCCACAAGTCCATCTCAGGGCCCTATGGTTTTTATTTCCATTTAGAAATTCACCTGCTTTTTTTCTACTCTAATTGACCTCTGAGGACTCCATGAAACACAGCTGGGAAACTTTGTAGTGAAAGGTACTTCCCAATATCCCTAACATGAGCTTGAAATCAACAAACACTTATGAAGAATGAATGTATTATACAAGGATAAAGCAGTGAATGAGAGTAAGACCCCTACTACCATGAATCTAGTATTATAGTAATGAAGATGGACCACAGACCGAACAAATTATATAGTGCATTACGTGGTGACAAGCACTATGGAGAGAGTAAGGCAACAAAAGGAGGGAAGAAAGGAAGGAATGGGAAAGGATTCGCATTTTTATCTTTTTGGGGGTTTTTTGGTATTGGGAATCCAACTCAGGACCTTGTACTTGCCAGGCAGGTGCTTGTGCTGCTGAGCTATATCCCCGGCCCAGATTTGAACTTTTAAATAAAAGTACTTAATAATAACAGGCATAAAAATAAAATAAATAGGCACACATACAAATAATAACAAAGTCAGAAAACCTCTCTTGTGTTACAGCAGTGGGTCCAAAAGCCAATTCCTGTTCACCTGACTACAGCAGAGAAGTACTGGAGTCTTGGCACCTCTGGGACTCTCTGGAAGACTGTCACCTTCTGCGGGGTCCTGTCGGCCACTGTAATACAACGCAGGCTGGAAGTCTTCTGTATCCACTAAAAACAGGGAATAATCCTGGCCTGCAGCTGCACTCCAGACTCCATGTTTACTGCTTACCTGCAATGACAGAAAAACACTGTCTGTCTAAGGTTAATGGAGTCAGAGAGAACTTGAGATTCACAGGAAATGAAAGTCAGGTTATTTAAGCATGGTGCAAAGTCACTCACATCTCAGAGGCGAAACTCACTCAGGCATGTGCCTAATCGCATGCCAACCAATGTGGAAATAAGAAATCTCACATTCAGCTTTTAAATTTAGAATTGGATTATTTTTATAAGAATTTTTTTAAAAATGGAATTTAAAAAGCAGAAGACATAGATCTAACTTTTTCAGTGTTATTTTTGGAAGTCCCTACAAAAAGCCTTACTACAATCAAGAGGCCAGGAATGCCTAGAGCCTACTCTAAAATGGACAGGATACACCTTTCTCTATTCACATTTGGCTGTGTGGAAAAAAAATAAAGGTAAAAATCAAGGTGAAAAAGTAAAAAATCTACAAAGGTTAAATTCCAACTGATAAATCTCAGTTTCCCACTTGAACCTCAGCACCCTGCCGGGGGACTGGTATTTGCATGGACCCAGGCCAGCAGTTCTCAAAGAGTAGACTTTGCAGTAGCAGTGGATACAGAGCCTGAAAACATGTTAGAAAAAGCATTTTCTGGCCCCAGATTAACGAGTGTGGGATTTAGTACTCATTTTTTTAACAAGCCCGCCACATGATTCTGATACATACAAAAGCTTGAGAATCACTGCTTTTTTTCAAACGTTAGGGCTCTGCACAGTGATGCAGGAGCAACCATGGGAAGCAGGCTCTTACTCACTCCCAATCCTGCAACTGAAGTAGTTCAACATTTATCTGTTTTATGTATGGAAGTCCTCAGATTTCACTTGAAGAAAGTGTACTGCTGCAAAACACCACCTCCAACCTCCAGATCTCCAGACCCAGCCTCGGCCTTGATCGACTCTGGGGTTAGACTCTGTGTCCAGACGAGGCCAAAGTGACTGGGGAGTGGAGGTGTGCACGCACCCACATCTCAGACACGGAGCTCTCTTCTAGGGCAACACTGCCTTCTCAAAGTCAAGCCCTCCAAATAACCGATTTCCAGTTCATTTTGCAAGGAGGAATTAAAATTCTTAGTCATTTTTTAGTATCTAATCAAAATGAATTCAAAAATGCGTTTATTCAGAATAAACTAAAAAAAAAAAAACAAAAACAGAAAAACCCAGTATATCACCCTTCCACGCCCCCTAAAAAAATCACAACCCTGATGCTGCAATGTTTCTTTTTACCACTAAAGAGTCACAAAACTAAACCCTCATAACAAACTCTATTCTCTCTTCTCTGACTATAAAATGTTAAATAAATGTTTATTCCCAGGGTCTCCAATGCTGTATGACAAAACTTTTCTTAATTAGGTCCTCTATCTACTTTATTCATATAAACAAAAATCAAGGAACAATGATTTGCTATATTGTAATAAAAGTAAGAAATGGATGGTTTACTACTGCAATGTGAGGTACTGAAAATAAAGTTGAAACTAGGAGAAATAACTTCTCTAACGTTACATTTTATTTTATTTTTTTGTTCGTTTTTTAATGTTATGTTTCTATTTTTTGTCTTTTTGAGACAGGGTGTCGCTATGTAGTTCAGGCTGGCCTTGAGCTCACTTTGTAGCCCAGGCTGTTCTCAAACTCACAACGATCCTCCTGCCTCAGCCTCCCAAGTGCTGAGACTACAGGTGTATGTGCGCCACCATGCCCGGCACTAACGTTATGGTTAAAGTCTTTCTTTTCCAGTCAAATTAAGTTCACTAAAAAGAAAAAGCACGTAAGAGTCTTCGAGGGTGACAGATTTAAATGGTGCACACTGGATATGTGCAGTATCCAGACACTTTGTTGTAATTTACATCTGAATCATGTCCCTCCTTTGGTCTGTGTTACCCACTCAGAAAATCAGACCCTCTTAAAAGGAGCTGATACTCAATATTCTGTGTATCAATGTTTAAGTCCTACAATTTTTTAATATAAAGAATGAGAATCTGGCATTTCCTTGGGTGCTAGAACAGAAAAAAAAGGTTGAAAACACTGTTCTAGAATTATGTAAAGAGACCAAAAATTATCACTCTCTCAGTAGCATCACGTAAACCAAAGCCATTCATACCACAATGAAAACGTCATCCAGACTTTTAGCTTCACTATGGAAAATGAAAAGGCTATGAAAAGTGCCTCAGTGCCCTGTACGCTTTAAACCTCACACAAACACACTGCACATCACAATGCTCTCAAAAAGTCAACTTTAAGAGTACACACTGGAGAGCTGCTTTGGGTTTCTTAAAGGACTCAACATGCTCTCCCTCAGGGTCCCATATCCTCAGAAGTTTCCCAGACGGACGTCCTACGGAAGAACCAATCCCTTGATGACAGAAAACTTTGTGGGCCAGGCCAGCCCAAGTCAAACTAGTGGGCGGGGGCTGCTGCGGGGAATGAGAGAGTCGGCTTTATTACAACTATTTCCACACAGCCTCTCTCAGTCTCATTTTCAGTCAAATAAAGTAGTACCTGTCCACCAAGACAAAATCATTACTGTGTAAATGAAGACACTACGCATAAATGGTAACCAATTTCTGTAAAAGAGTAAAGATGAAAGAAAAGCGAACAGTCTGCCTCCTTCAAAGAAGATTCTTTCTATATTCATTGTCCTAAAAACACCTAAATTATGAAGATGACTGTAGTCAAGCATGAGGTTCATAATGATTACTGAAACAGAGCTGCACAATTAACCACTTGATCACTTCCAGGTGACAAATTTTGGGAAAAAAAAGCGTATACACTGTTTGGCATATAAAGCTCAGAAAACATCAGGGCCAGGGAAATAGCTCAGCAGCATAAATGCCCACATGGCAAGTGTAAGGTCCTGAGTTTGATTCCCTGTACCCGCACCCCCACAAAAGAAAACATCACAGCTTGAGAAACATCTGTTTAAAAAGAAAGCTATTTTGCAAGACAATACTAAAATATTAAATGAACAAATACAGTTAAATCAAAAGTACATTTAGCTTAAAAAGAAGTGCATTCATGCTTCAAAAACTTTTGAAAGAATATCCAACCAAGTTTAGGCTACAAATAAACAATTTTTTAATTTTTAAAAACAAGAAAGGAGAAACGCAAAGTGTTATAGCTTAGAATTCTGAAAGTAAAAGTTGCTATGAAGTTCACCAAAGTACCTTTGCGAGCCGAGGAACAGTTGTTGGAAAATCGGAATGTGCAAGTTGACCAAAGGTATTGTTTCCCCAAGAGTAAACCTATTGGAAACCACAGAAGGGCAGGTTAGGGTTGTGGATCTGATCTTGCATGTGAACTCTGAGTCTTTAAAATAATACCAATACTTACACATATTAGCCTTGTACTCTTTAAAATAAGATATTAAAATTTATTTTTAAACAGTATCAAATACAAGGGGCAGATAGAGTACACAGAGATAGAAGACAGAGTCCAGGGGTTAACAATAAAAAGAAGATTGTCAGGTGATTCCCCGTTGCCAGGCACTGTTCCTCCTGGCTTTCCCTGTATCAGTATTTAATTCCTACAATTTTTTAATATAAAGAAACTAGCCCACAGAGGTTAATTTATCTAAGTTCACAAATTTTTAAGTGACAGAGCCATGACTTAAACTCAAGACACACCCTACAGTGCCTCTTAGAATGACAGCAATGATAAAACAGATATGTGGAACTTTAAAAGGTACAGAAAGAAGGTAACGAAAAGGTAAGGACAACTGTTATAAATAAACAAAGCCATGCACAGTGGCACATCTCTGCTATGCCAGCTTTGAAGAAGCCTGAGGCAGAAGGGTCACAAGTTCAAGCTCTCACCTGGCAAATTAGCAAAATTCTACCTCAAAATAACCAAACTTTGCTTTAAAAGGTTTGGGTGGGGGAAGCTGGGGATGTAACTTAGTGGTAGCACGCCCCTAAACTCCATACCCTGGGGTAGGCTGTAACCTTGATTCCTTTCTCTGTAGGTAAGGGAACTATGGAATTACTAGGAAGCCTTTTATATATAAAGTTCAGAGTCACTATTGGAGAAACACAAGCACTTAGGTAACACTACAAGTATTTCTTTCTTTCTTCTTTTTTGGTACCAGGAATTGAACTCAGGACCTTGTGCATGCCAGGCAGGTACTTGTGCCACTGAGCTATATCCCCAGCACTACGAGTATTTCTAAGGCAAAAAACCAGATTATAATTACTGCATTAAATGAAAATAGCTCTTTGTTTATTGTGCTTGTAAAAGTAATTCATGAAGCCGGGCATGGTGGCACACTCAGGCAGGAGGATTGTTGTGAGTTCGAGAGCAGCCTAGGCTACCAAGTGACCTCAAGGCCAGCCTGAACTGCATAGCAAGACCCTGTCTCAAAAAGACCAAAAAAAAAAAAAAAAAAAAAATTCATGAGCCAGGCTGGCAGTACATGCCTGTAATCCCAGCACTTTGGGAAGCCGAGGCAGAAAGATCACCAGTTTCAGGCAGCCTTGGCTACATAGTGAGTTCAAGGCAGCCTGGACTACACAGCAATGTCCTGTCTCAAAAAAACCAAAACCAAAACCAAAACAAAAAGTGATGTTTTTTCTTGTAACAGGTCATTTTTCCTTTTATAAACAGAATATAAATATCCTTTAACAATGTAGGTTTCAAATGTCTTTGCCCAGTGTGTTATAGTTTTCATTTGTGAGGCTTTCTGCTGTCTAGTACCACTGAATTATTACAAAACAAATATGTCTTTACTTTTTAATTTCTATTTGTTTCTTTTTTTCTGTTTTTTGAGACAGGGTATCCCTATGCAGTTCAGGCTGGTCTTGAACTGAGTATATAGCCCAGGCTGGCCTCGACCTCCCAGAGATCCTCCTGCCTCAGTCTCCCAAGTGCTGGGATTACAGGTGTGTGCCACCACGCCCGGCTTTAATTTCAATTTTCAATGTCATGTCTTTTACTACCCCTAATACTAAAAAAGAGAAAGAAAAAAAAAAAAAACCCAGCAAAATTTGTTCTTAAATATATAAGGGTATATTTTTTAACTATGCCTGTAATCTATGTGAAAGAATATATAAAGCTTTCTTAATTTTCTTCAGCATTTATGAATACTCAAGTCTTGTTTCTCAAACTTGTAAGAGAAGTCTACTTTGTTCCTATCTGAAATACTCATATACTGGAGTCTACAGGCATACTCCAGTTCCTTCTGACTGTCCGTCATTTTACTCTTTCTGTTTTCAGGGAAGGTGTGCGGACTGCTATCAGGGCCTCAGATCTGTTCCACCACCGAGCTCCCAGCACCAGAGCACACTTTGTAAGGGTGAGACTTCCTCTTCCCTTCTGTACTTTTTCAGAATTTATTGCTGTGCGTGGTGGTACATGCCTGTAATCCCAGCACTTGGGAGGCTGAGCAGGATGATCACTGTGAGTTCAAGACCAGCCTGGGCTACAAAGTGAGCTCAAGGCCAGCCTGAACTGTACTGTGGGACCCTGTCTCAAAAAAAAAAAACAAAAAAAAACAAAAAACAAAACAGCCGGGCGTGGTAGCACACGCCTGTAATCCCAGCACTTGGGAGGCTGACACAGGAGGATTGTTGCAAACTCGAGGCCAGCCTGCACTACAAAGTGAGCTCAATGTCAGTCTGAACTGCATAGCGAGACCCTGTTTCAAAAAAATAAAACAAAACCAAACAGAACAAAAAGAATTTATCTGGTGTACCAATGCCTATTATCTCAGAATTTATGGATCATTTTACCAAGTTATAGAAACATTATATTGGAATGTTTTAAGAGACCATATTAAATTTACACTGATTTAACAACTTAAGGAGAAATGACATTTTTGCAACGTTGACATTTTCTACTCAAAAGTATAATCTATCCCTTACTCTTGATTTTTTAATGATCTTTTAGAAGTATTCTTGAGTTTGTGTCATGTGGGCCCTGTATACATCCAATAAAGATTATGCCTATTTCCTTAATATTTTAAGTACAAACAGCTGTAATTACAAACAGCTTTTTTCCCTCTTCCAAGTATGTCGTTTGTTTTATATTCATAAAAGCTGGTAATTTTTGTACATTTTACAGCTGACCACCTTTCCTGATCTCTCATTTTTAAGTCATTTGGCTAATTTATGATGTTAATAACAATAAATTCTTTTCCTTTCCTAAAATGAATATTTATTATGCACTTTACCTTTATGTGTTTTTTGGGTTAGTCTAATATGTAAATAAAATCAACTATTTCAAGGGCTTAGAATCCTTTATTTGTTTTTTTAAAAGATAAAGGAATTGGTGAAACATTATCTGACTATATTTAAGAATAAAAGCTGGGTGTGGTGGTGCATATCTGCAATCCTAGCACTTGGGAAGCTGAGGCAGGAGGATTAGCTTGTCTTAAGTTTGAGGCCAGCAAGAATGATATAGTGAGACCCTGTCTCAAAAAAAAAAAAATCATTTTTTTAGAAAGGCTCATGTATTAATGGGAATGGTTTTAAGAAATTCCAGAGAGTTACTTTCAGATTTCACAATTTCAAAAGAAAAATGCCTTTTGTTTCCTTAGTGTCTTACTATAGATTTTCTTCATTAAGGAATTAAAAAATTCATCTGAAAACTCTGGTTTCCATTTTTAGATGAGAAAACATGATAGAAAGCTGCTTAGGCAGATCAATGTTGAAATCAAGCTTTACTATCAGGCATGTAGCTTTAGGTCAAGTTACATAATTTCTTTTTTTTTTTTTTTTTTTTTTTTTTGGTTTTTCTCCGGTACCGGGAACCGAACTCACGACCTTGCACTTCAAGTTACATAATTTCTCTTAGCCTATTTTCCTTGTCTACCAAGTGAAATAACACCACACGAAACATTCAAAAACTCCAATGAGACACACCATGTTGCCTGACATAACAGACCCTAACAAATGGTAGCCCAATCTTATTACTATACTGGCTTCATGAAATCACAACTTGACTCCTACCTGGGACTTTGCAGTAAGTGCTATGGAATGGTAACCACCTGCCTCCAAGTGGATCACTTCTTTACCGTCCAGACACTTGACACACAATGGCTGAAGCCTTAAAGAAAAGCACACATGGACACAAAGAATTTTCAGTGGAAATCAAGTCTTTTCTCAAACTACAGAGAATTTTATCAAGTAAAAATAAATAAAACAGTAAAATAAAAAAGCTGCACGTTAAATATTATACAGTGGTACCTCAGTTCATGCACAATTTTTTTGGCAAACAATTCAGTTCACAAATGGAAGCATTTGGCAAAATTTTGTTTTTGTTTGCAATCTCTGCATCAGGTAGCAAACATACAACCACAGCCATTAACCCACACAAACACAAATTTGGCTAGCTTTTAAAAAAATCATAAAACAAACTGAATTCACGAGGTACCACACTTTTTAGAAATTTAATTTTTGTCTACTTACAAGATTTTAATTTACTTTTTGTATATCAATCACTAATTAGCCCCACAGTTCAGGATCTATTAAGAAACAAATCGTAACCACAGAGTATGCACTAATGACACAATGAAATATAATAATAGTGAGGTAATTTAAAAATTTTTCATAGTCACTTTTACTGTTAGTAAGACATATTTATATTCACCTACTGCTTTAGATGATAATTCCATTTATATGCCTTGAACCTTCACAAATATCTAGTTTGTTAATGAGTTCCTATTAATCAAAATGGCAGTTTTTCCCTTATATATACTGACACAGTTTAATGTTTCTGCTATAGTTATTTTGACAGTGGCAGAGGGATGTCACTTGGGTAAAATTCCTGTTGGCATTGCTGCATAACTTAAAAATTTTAACCATTCAGGGCTGGCAGTAGAGCTCAGTAGCACAGCGCTTGCTTAGCCTGCTGGAAGCCCTGGGTTCAATCCCCAGCACTTAAAAAATCATTTAAACGTTCCAATGAAATATCATCTTATCCTCAACAGCACTTTCTGTATTTCAAGATGAGTATACCTCAAAGAAGATATGAAAAAATGCACCATGGATATTTAAATCCTGTATTGCACTAGGTGTGGTGGCATACATCTGTAATCCCAGCACCTGGGAGGCTGAGGCAGGAGGATCGTTCCAAGTTCAGGCCAAGCTGGACTACAAAGTGAGCTCAAGGCCAGCCTGAACTGCATAGCGAAACCCTGTCTCAAAAAAGCCAAAAAAAAAAAATCCTTTACTGTCGGGAACGCATTCAAGATTAAGGCAACAGCTTTTCATCACAGTTAATGGTGCAGTGTAATCTGGAGCTAGGGACTAGATTTCCTCCAAGAGGAAGTGGCCCGGAAGGGACCCAAAGTGAGAGGTTATTTGCTTCAGTCAATGCTGAGCGGTACCTGCGGGCTGCACTTACCGAGGCAGAACATCACCATGGCCCAGCTGTCCATCCTTCCCTCTCCCCCAGCTCCACACCTCTGTTCTCAGAGAGGGCAACAGCGCATCTGCTTCCCCGCTGTAGGTAGGGGTCAGAACCACTGTCCTCGTTTTCACCCGTGCAGCCTTTCTTAAGAGTCTGGGAGAAACTGAAAACAAAGATGGGGTGAAGGAGTGCGAAACTGATACCCTAAAAATTTTCAAAGAAATACACTAGCATGGTATTTTGAAGTGTACTCTCAGGTTCTCTACCAAAATAGGGGGACTGAACAGTCAAATGAGCTTGGGAAAGGCTCCCTACTGCACTCTTCCTCCCGCTACCTCCGTGGCAGAGACTCACACATCAGCAGGCAGAAAAGTGCCCACAAGTCCTGCCATTAAAAGCACTGTTTCAACTTGTTTAACCAGCCCCACTTCTGAGCATTTTCCTAGGGAAGCCTTTTCTGTGTAACATTTGTGACATTCTGTAAAACCTGCATTCTAAAGTACATGCTGAACAAAATACTACACTATGCTGACAAATCCTTTTCCCATTTCAAAGCAGAGTTAAATGATAAGCCTTCCTGAGCCAAGGTCTAAGTTCGAATACATAATTAAAAATTATAATACATGATTCATTTAAAGGTATAACATTTTTAATTTCTATGGTGGAGAAAACCTTAAGAAAAGGAAGGATTAAAAAGCTTCCCAGGCTGTAGCTGTAGCTATAGCTCAGTACTAGCATACTTGCCTAGCACAAGCAAGGCCTTGGGTTCAATTCCCAGTGACCCTCTCCCTCAAGCTTTTGTATTTTGCTTGCCTATTTCAAATTATTTCGTAAAGAAGTTTTGTGGAATTGACTTTTGGTGAATCCTAGGTGATACTCCCACCTTTTAAAAGAAATGTCATCATCTTTTGTGGGGTTCAAAATTATAGCACAAAATACTATAGATCCTGTACACATACCAGTTTGTTGCCAGGATAAAGTTTGATGAAAATCTTCAATGTCACTAAGTGTAGACACAGTCACTCATTAACTTAGTCATTAACTTGTATCACCACAGCCTAAGACCATATGCACACAAGACTCAAAGAACTCCAATTTAAAGCGTCCTCAAGGAGGTATTACAGATGTTTCATAACAGGAAAAAGACTACATGAAGTTTCTAAATACACTTTAGGTTACTAAGTAAAATTTAACCTCAGGATGTAAGTCTACCGGTAGGATTACATATTTCATATGGTCTAATGACATAACAAAAATCAATAGTCTACATCTGTGGCTCAAAGAGATTCTGAACTATAGTTAAATGTAAAGGACATATAAGAATAAGGTAATTTTAACACAAGATTTTCCTTCAGATTTATTTATAGGCTAGGGATAGCTCAGTGTCACAAGCACTTGCCTGGCAAACGCAAGGTCCTGCGTTCAATTCCCAGTACAAAAAGAAAAAAAAGATTTATTTATAGAACCCAACTCCTGGTCTGAGCAAATGCTTCTCAAAGGTGAGTGTGCCGGCCGTCACTGGGGGCTCGTGCTGTGCATGTTTCAGTCACTTGGCTGGGGAGGAGCCTGAGATTCTGCATTTCCCCCAAGTCCTGGATTATGCTGATGCTGCTGGCTGCTGAAGGTACAAATGATTTAGAAATGCCAAACTGCCTAATACTCTAAATATGCTGGAGCACTAATTGTTCAAGAAAATGATGTTTTGTCTTATTGAAGTTTAAAAGTTACCTCTTCTTTCAGGCCAAGTAAAGTAATTTCTTACTTCTCTACTGTTCACATCTGCAATTTCATCAATCATGAGTACAGGTCTCAATTACAAAATAAGAAGGCTACTGTTACAATCCAGCATAATAAAATATAATTAATAAGGCCATAAGCAGAAACAGACATCAAGAAAAAGTTGTGTTTTGCAGTTATTTCAATAAGTAAATAAATATGTGACTTTCTTCTTAAACCACTTTAGTAAACTACCATTAAGTAAATTTTGATGTTGGAATGTCAGCTTCAGGACTTAAGAAATCTTGCTGTAATGTAACATGTGATGTTGGGGGGGTCTCAAGAATTCACCAGGAATCAGCTCATCGAAGCTGCTATTTTCTTACCTTGAGACAACAATCCAGGGAGGGAGAGTCTCCGACTGCCTCCTTCTGATTCTTCCTCTCTGATATCCACAAGACTTGAACTTTTCTTTCCTTGCATTGACTCTTGTTTAACTTGTTCTTCTCTGCTCTCTTTCAGACCTTCTGGGCCTATGCAACTACCGCTTACCTGAGCTCCAGTTTCACAAGGGGCTGTACTATAAAAGTTCATTACTTTCTTAAGAGACAGGGCCCCAGCTTCATAGGTAGCAGCCACTCTTACACCAACAGCAGATGCACAAGAGACCACCAGGCTGTTGAGGGCTGAGGTGCTGGTGGTGGGTGGGCTGTGAGGGTTAGGAACTACTTCTTCTACAAGAAGCTAAAATATACACACAGGAAAAGAATGTAAAAAAAGAATTCATATACAACAAGTAATCAATAGAAAGAAAGTTTAACTTTCATCACTATTTGCATATGGAAATTGAAAATGACAAGTCTTTCACCTCCAACTCCTAGGTATCTCCTATTCACTGCGGAGCTAATACATGGAAATGGCACTCCAAACAGAGTTCCTTAGCAAAATCACTTTTTTTTGTCTCTGTTGTGTTTTCTTACGTCATTTAAAAGTAACTTCTAGGGCCAGGGATATAGCACAGTGGCACAAGCGGCTGCCTGGCAAGCGCAAGGTCATGAGTTTGATTCCCGGTACCAAAAGGAAAAATAAAGATATCTCATGTAAAGGTACAAATTTCCCACGATGAATGTGATCATTATATGTATCTAAAAGGTACCTATAAAAATTTTAAGAAAGAAAAGGGGCTCTTAAAATCTTTTGTAAACAGAAATTTAGACACAGGACAGGCTGAAAAATAATTTATACTTCTGACCTATCGTTTCACAAATTTTGTTAAGTTCAAGTCCCTTTGCTCTCCTACCAATGAGTTATTCTCCACAATCTAGAAGCTAGATAAGCTGAAAAATTACCTTTGCTCTCATTACCACAGAGGGAAAATGTGATAGGTTAATAATTAAACAGCTGGAACCAAAGGTATATTAGAAAGTCAAACTAAAGTTTTTTTACTATCTTAGAGAAAAATAGTTTGAAATTTAAGTTAACAAACATTAGCATGTATTTTTTAAAAACCATTAAATATACCTAATAAATAAAAAACAACTTTTGGCACCTGAATTAAAAATCAAACCAGGGCTGGGGGCTGTAGCTCAGGTGTAGAGCTTACACTTAGCATGTCACAAGGCTCTGGGTTCAATCCTTAGCACCCAAAACAAGTAGGCAAACAAACAAACCAATATTTGTTTTAAATACTAGCTTCTGATTTCCTTCCTTCCTTCCTTCTTTCCTTCCTTCCTCCCTCCCTCCCTTCCTTCCGTCCTTTCCCTCTTTCCTCCCTCGTTTTTCCTCGCACTGGGGATCAAACTAAGGGACACTCTACACTGAGCTACATCCCCAGCCATTTTTATTTTGAGACAAGGTTTCACAAAGTTGTTCAAATTGGTCTTGAACTTGCAATCCTTCTGCTTCAGCCTCTGGAGTAGTTGAGATTATAGATGTGCACTACCCTGCCCAAAGGAAATACTTCTTGGTGCTGAGTACAGTGTCTAATATGTAGCAGGTACTCAATACATTTTGTTGAACTAAATTTTAAATCCAGAAGGGCTATTTCTGTGCAAATGTATGTAATCAACAAAACAAAACCACATAAAAGTAAAGATAAATACAACGGCCGTGGTGGTGCACACCTGTAATCTCAGCACTGAGGAGGCTAAGGCAGGAGGATCATTGCTTTTGAGGCCAGCCTGGGCTACAAAGTAAGCTCAAGGCCAGCTGCATAGTGAGATCCTGTCTCAAAAAGACAAAAACACAAATAAATAAATAAATAAATAAAAATAAAGGCTCATAGCAGAGGCTATAATTGTTTTTGAGGTAATTATTGTAAGGGGTTCTTACCATTAGGTTACAAAATTTTACACTGTATAAACCTTAAGCTATTGTTTTGAGTCTTCCTACTTAACTATACTTAATACAGTGTATAAATAAATAAAAACCAAACAACAAAGTCAGGACCAGCAATTTGAGGTCAGAGAGAAATTATCCTGAACCACATAAACTCCTCATGAGTTGGCTATATGATTGAAATGCTTCTTACAAAGACCAAATTAAATTTTATAGAAACATACACTGCCAAAACTTTAAATGTTTAACAAACTAAGTCCAAAGGAAAAAGCAATTTCAGTGATGGTAATTTAATAATCCAATAAACTGTATATAGTAAACTTTTAAATTTAAATTTAATAAATCAGAAGAAAGACCTTTCAACATACTTTATAACCATGGATAGTCTAAAAATCTACATACATCCTCACTTTGGTCTTGTTTGGATTTCTGTATTATCTGTCCTTTTTTGCAGTCCTGGATTGGACCCAGGATCTTAACCCTGCAAGGCATAATTAGCTTATTCTTAATAACAAATCAAATACCAATGAGGTTCAGCACACAGAGTGTGAAATGAAAAAAATTTCTAAAATACTTCTATGTTCTCACTCTGACAGAGTAAACAGACTAAAGAACCAAGAGCTCTGTGATTTCAAATGCCTGAAAAAATACCACAGGACTGTACTGTTACGATTTCTGCTTAGTTTTCTTATCTTATTGTTTTGGTAAAAGCAAAATAAAAAGGCTATGCTAAGAGTGAAAAGCAGACATTACCCTTCAGGACTGATTAGGTAAATCTGTCTTATTGCATGCTACTGGTAAACAGCTTTTGCCTATTTTACCACAAGTTTTCAAAATGAGAATAGTTTAGAGCCGGAGATCCAACTTTGTGGCTGAGCACTTTTCTAACACACATAAGCACTGGGTTTGAGACTGGTACCATGAAAAAAGTTTCAAAAGGAGAGAAAAAGTAGTTTTAAAAAGTAGAGAAAATATAAACTGTTCTCTCAAACAAAGTCCAGTATGGACCACAGGTACAACTAGGAAAAAAAGAAATCAAATACCATGTAATTTCTATGTTTCTTTACATGTGCCTATTATGGAATGGTCTGCTACCCACTACTCCCTGATGAAGAAGAAAGGGCCTTTCCAGAATGCTGAAGGTCCAAATACAAGGCGAAGAATCTTTGTGAATATTGTATATAGTTTTATTATGTTAAACTACTTAGAGCCCATCAAAATTTAGTAATTGAGCCATGGGAGTAAAATGCTAGCAAGAGCTGGGCGTGGTGGTGCACCCCAGTAACCCCAGCACTTGGGACACTGAAGCAGGATTGTTGGGAGTTCAAGACCAGCCTAGGTTACAAAGTGAGCTCAAGGCCAGCCTGAACTGCACAGCGAGACTGTCTCAAACGGACCAAAAAAAAAAAAAAAAAAATCTAGGAAGAAAAAGGAATTTTGCAACTTTTAAAAGAAGCCCAGGATGACATCCTTCAGTACCATATCATATAGGGCCAGAACTTGAACAGAAAGTATGACTTTGAATTATAGGCTTTTTCCTTATCTAGGCTTGACTCATAAAACAGCATGGCAAAACTTAGAAAATAAAAAATGCTACCAAGCTTTAATCATTTCAGAGTTTTAAAGGAAAACTCATGCACTTCAACTCCAGAGATACTTTTCCTTACATTACAAAATTGAGCAGATACCTGCAACGGCACTGACTTCTCACAGCTCTCCGAGTCCTCCCTGACTGAATGCTCAGACAGTTTACCCAAGTGCTCATTTACTGCCTGGGTGTCGGACTGTGACAGTGTGTCTCTCCCAGAAGCAGCGCCAGCTGTTGCCAAGGTGTTCTGTTGGCAGGAAATGGCATTGCTATTTGTGGTCTGAGCATGTCCCACATACAGGTCGGAGGCAGTGGGCAGGTTTTGCACAAGAGTGTTTTCAAATACTTCTCCCTGGCTGTCAAGGGTCTCAGTGGAGGGGCTGATGACAACGCTGGCATGGCTTTCTGCCTGGGACTCTGACAGTGCCACCCCTAATGGGCAACAGTGGCTGTCTGATATAATCACATGGTCTTCTTTGTCCGTCATAGTAATGAGGAGCTGGCTGCACTGGTTGCATCTTTCGGGAACTGGCTTCAGATCCTGGGAAGGAAGGCACTGCACAAGGGCCAGGCTGTGGAAAGCACCACAGGCTACCTGCAGCACCACACGGCCAGCAAGATGTTCCACCTTCTGTGGTTTTGTCACTGGGAAGGTGGTGGTGATGAGACCCAGCTGACAACCAGTCCCCCACGCCCAAATCTCTCTGCTTATTGACAATGCCAGAGTGTGTTCTTCACCACATGCCAACTGTAAAATCCTGACTGCTATCAAAGGGCTGGTCTCAGAGTCAGAGATGCTGACAGGGTTCGGTTCTGGCACATGCCGCTGGTTGGCAACCGCACACTGGCCTGCAGAGTTCTCGCCCCACATGTACACAGCCCCGCCGTCTGTCACAGCTCCACTGTGGAAGGCCCCTGTTGCCACCGTAACCACGCGTTGCCCAGCCAGGGCATTTTCTAGAATTGGGCTGGCTGGAAAAACTTCTGTAGGCTCACTTCTCCAGGGAAGGGACCCAAAGCTGTAGACTTCACCATCTGAAGGTTTAAAAAAAGAAGAACTTTGTGAATTAATCAGAAATTCTATCAATAAACTCTAGTCTCCTCCAGATTTAATGAAACAAAGTTAAAATTTTTTTTTCAAAAGAAACGTTTTGGCTCACTTAACAATCTGTATTGTGGCACTCCCACAGCTGTAATCCCAGCTCTCCCGAGGCTGAGGCAGGAGGATCATTGTGAGTTTGAGACCAGCCTGGGTTACAAAATGAGCTCAAGGGGCTGGGGATTTAGCTCAGCGGCAAAAAGCGCCTGCCTGGCAAGCGCAAGGTCGTGAGTTCGGTTCCCGGTACCAGAGAAAAACCAAAAAA